ATTTTACGAGAAAATACTTGTGATATTACAAGAAAAAAAGTCGTAATTCTACAAGAAAAAAATTGCAATATTACAAGAATAAAGTAAGGACGAAGCATCTCCTGGTTTGTGAAACGCTGAAGCATAACTTCCTGAGATGCTCCACGGCCCTCATTTTAACAACTTTCCTCTAAAACAGCTGGTTTACATGTTACAGCTTTATTCTCTAAGTCTGTGGAACAACATGTTTCTTAATGTGGCCCTAGTACTTTTTCGGCAGGTGGGAGCAAGCTTGAGCCTCCGTCGTCATGGTAACCGGTATTACCTGTACACCAGCGCCAGTATGTTGAGCATGGTGGCCACGTCTGGGTGGGTGTGGCCCGACGACTTCTCCAGGTCCTCCAGAGCCTGAGGAGACAGGATAATTCAAATTCAGCAGTGTGGCGTCGTGTTTAGCTCCGCTACAGTGAACAGGTACAGGTGGAGGCCCCGCCCCCTCACCTGCTTGCAGAGCGGCACGGCGACCTCGTAGCGGCCCTGCGACGCGTACTGGATCACCAGGTTGTGGAGCGTTCGGAGGCGGGCGGGGATCTCGTAGCCGCCCTGCTGGGCGGCGGCGGCCGCGCTGCTGTGGTGAGGCTGAGAGACTGAACAGCAGCACAAATAAAAACACAATGTTTGGGTCAAATCTGGAAGAACCGAGTTCATCTGACATGAAGGATTTGGTTCATGAGAACTCAGCAGCTCCTCATAAACAGACTGGAGTTAGATAAACGTCAGCAGCAGAACTTTATGTTGATGTTAAGCTTTAAGTTGTGTCTTTAAATCTGAGACAGGGTTTGGTTTCATTGCAGCCGTTAACCCTCAAGTTGTAAATAAAAGCACATTAATGGTGCATCGTTTTTTGGTCATATGTTTATACTTATGGTTATATTTTTAGAACATAATTTTCTACATATTTTTCTACTTATTTTTTTATTTTTAGGTCATAATTTTCTACCTATTTTTTCTCATTTTTAAGTCATATTTTTCTACTTTTAATTAAGTTAATATTTATCCATCTATTTTAAAAAAATTTGGTCATATTTTTCTACTTGTTTTTTTTTTTTTTAGGTCATTTTTCTATCTATTTTTTATTTTAAGTTCAGATTTTTCTATTTTTCTTTTACTTTTTAGGTTATATTTGTAGGTCATAGTTTTCTAGTTATGTTTATACTATTAGGTCACAATTTTCTACCTAGTTTTTACTTTTAGGTCATATTTTTCTACTTATGTTTATATTATAGTTCATATTCTGTACGGTTTATATTTGTGACTTGAACAGTAGTAACTGTAACTTAAGCAAACAACGTATTTCTGATTCCGATAAACAATAACCGCATATAAGTTTAATAAAGCGGCTTTTTCCAGGCTTCACTAGAACAAGAATCTGCTTTATTCTCCAAGAATGTGAATGAATTTGGTTCTGTTGTTTAGCTGTTAGCGGCACAAAATTCCAACAGCAGCAACAGAAGGAAAATTAGTGTTTACTGAATATGTGCAGATACAGATATGAGTAGATGTGAAGCAGCAGTTAATAATCAATAAATGCAAAGTTACTGACGCCTTAAATATACATGAGGCAGGTTTATGTAAACACGCTTCACGTTGCTGCCCTGACACTGGTTTAAACTCACCTGCTACGCTCTCATTTTCACTGTGATGCAGAAAAATGTGACATCGGTGCTCGAAATGTGTTGGCTGTGCGTCAAGAGTCGCTCGTTTTAAACGCAGCAGCGCCGTAGTCACACTCTGACATTATGTACGCAGAGCCGGATCAGGTGCAAAACAAACAATGTTGATCTTACAGCGACTCTACAAACCGACAGGTTCTACAGGCATTAAAGGAGCAGGTCACCCAAATTACAGAAACACTTACAGGGAACTTTACTTCCTGAGCTTTAGAGACCCTCAACGCTGGGACGTCCTGCACCATGTGGACTAAATCTAGATGCTCACAACACTGACTGAAACTGAACAGAAAGCGTCTCTTTGGATTAGTTCAACATCTCTGTGATATGAGGAAAATTCTGCAAATACACATTTAGTCATTTTGCTTCCTCATCCATGCTGTTGAAAATGTAAACCTTCTATGGCACGGAGACATTAAAACACATTTCAGAGCCTTACTCTGTGACGGTTCCTCGTCCTCGGCAGGAAACAGGTCATCCAGAGACTCCTTGTTGGAGGACGTGTCCTTGTCGTCCTGAAAGAGGAAACAAAAGCACTCAACACAACTTGTCCTATTCTTAACCTTCGTGTTCAGTGAAAAGAACCGACTTGAACCTCGCATTTTAATGTTCAAACACAAGTTTTACGGAGCTTCTTTTTGTTTTTTTAACTCCTCCTGTTGATTTTACGGCACGTTTTACTTCTCGTCTGCCTCGTTCCTGCAGAACTGCTGAAGGAAATCGAGCAGACGAGGAGCCAAAGCTAAAAGAAGAGCGACGAGCATTCATGGATTGTGAATGATGACGTTGCTCAGTGTCCTCTGGCCGTGCAAACAGGCAATCTAGGAACACATCAGCAATAAACGGCTGACAACACGTCTGCGTGTCCGACGTGCTTCTGCTCAAAATGTAATTACAGCAGCTCGACTGAATCCCTTAAACATCAGCTGTCATCAAGATGCATTCAGAGGGCAGACTTTTCTACGAGTTCATATTTCACATAAAAACAACCAGGAGAAGGTCGTTGTGCTGAAACGTGTCGGTTACGATAAGGAGCAGGTTCGTCCTGCTGCTCAGCGGGTGTGTTTTTTATTGTTACTGGCAGTTCAAGAGCAGCAAACTCCTCCAGATGTGAAGTCTACAAAATGCACAGTGTGTTCGCCGTTTTGTAGTTCTGTCTGAATGTTAAGTTAAACTTTTTACACCCTATGTAGCGCTCTGAAAGTATCCAACAATGAAAAGTAGTGTTCAGCAAAATGTACCGTCATGCAAGGAGAAGGAGGAGAAGGAGGAGAAGGAGACGGACGAGAGTCGATTCAAGACTGGCGGCATTTCCTCTGATTTCTGACGGACATTTAATAGAGTTAAGACGTATTTTCTACAGATTATATCTTGTCTGTATGTGCAGCTTGTTGAAATGACAACAGGCACGAGACAAATCCACGAGTTGTGCCGTGAAAATCTAAAAAAAATTAATAATAATTTGGATTATTATGTTTAAGGAACACATTAAACTCAGATTTATTGATTTCAGAAAACAGGCTCCAGCATCCGTCTGATAGGTTTTAATTTAACAGTGACGCTGATTTGTCCGAGTAGAGAACGATGGATGACGGTTTCGGACTCGACACGTCTGAGCTGCTCGTCGGTCGTCCTCACCAGCGGCGGCTCCTCCTGGTCGTATTTGCGTATGGAGGACATGAACTGCAGGTGTCGGTTCTGCTCCTCCAGCGTCACCACGTCCTGCTCGCGGTCCTGCAGACGCTGCTGAGCTCCGGCCAGCTCGTCCCTCAGCCACTGGTTCTCCTGGCAGAGGCGACGCACCTGAGCAGGAGGAGGAGGAGGAGAGAGGAAGATGCAGGGATACAAGGACAGGATTGAAGAAAGGAATATGAGATGAAGGGGAAGGAGGGGGGAAAGAAGGAGAAATGGTCAAATTAAGTGCAGCAGAGGGAACAAAGTTGGTGATGAAGAAAGACAGAGGAGAACAATTAAATATGAATAAACAAATCCTCCCTATGAAATCAGAATTAATTAACCCTTTACATGCTGCTCATATTTTAAGCCTTCACAGAATTCCTGTCAAGAACTTCCTGAGCGTCTACACCATATTTTAACTCACAGATCTATTTAGAACGTCTACATAGTCGATGTCACATTAATAAATAAAAACATACACATAAAACATGTCCTGTACAGTTTCCAGATTCCCTAAAACCAGCGTTTTCCTTGATCTGACCCACACTGGTGGATCTAGAATCCATCTCAAAGGATCAGATTTGAGCCCAAACAGTCTGTAAGTGTTTGTATATTGAATCCAAACCACAGTTTACACATGCACGGAGCTCTTTACGGCCGCTGCTGCAGTCAGTTCAAGTCGGCTCATCTTTTTAAAACTGCTTTAGTTTATTTATATATCCTGACATTTGGTTAAGAGGCAAGGTGAGACTGTCATTGTCCAGCGTAACCGTCTGGTTTTCTGTTCAGTGACGATGAATCTTGAATAAACTGCTCGGTTGTGGGGTTCGTTATGAGAACTCTCTCTCTGTATATTTATATATATGCATGTGTGTGGTCTCAGAAACTCACCTGAGCTCTCAGCTTCTGTTTCTCTGCCTCCAGTGAGCCGAGGTGAGCCGACAGCGCCATCATCACCTGGAGAGGATGATAAAGTAACCCTCAAGTTTAGCATTTAAAGAAGTTAATTAGTTTAATTTCTGATTCAAACATGAGACGATCGTCAAACTTCACAACACAACAGAACAAGAGACGTACAGAAGGCTCTAATGTGGAAATAATTCTGGATTTTAACGAGGCTCATTTAACACTACGTCTACTTTTTAAGATTTTTCTGGTTTGTCTTTGTTCTACTTTTGTTTTGTGCAGCGTTTTTGTGCTATTTTGAGAAATTTTTACACAAAAAACCCAAAACATGTCAACAGCCAGACCACTGAAGAGTTGAAAAGTGATAATCAATAAACATCAATCGATGTTTTTATCGATTAGTCAAAGCATTTCGTTGTTCTAGATTAAAAATAGCCTCTCATAGCAAACATGCTAATCACGCTAAGTAACTCCATGACAGAACAAGGTGTGATCAAACTGAACGAGCACGGCTGCACGCGGTCAGGACGCCGTGTGACGTTGTGCGAGCAACATCTGGGCTCGTGATTTTTATTGCAACGAGGAGAAAGAGAAGAAAACGTTACAACCTGGAGACGAGAGGAGGCTCTACAGCTATGATCCACTGACCAAACGGGAGGCTGTACGGCGGGCTAAAGGCGGTGTGTCACGTCAGGACGATGTTCTTGAGGTTAGTCCTACTTGGACATCCTGAGTTGTCTGATTTGTGACCTGAACTGGGGCTTGATGGCAGGTGGGTGCTCTTTTAACTTTTCCGCACATTCACGTTGAAGCCGTATGTGTATGCTGAGAGGACAGGGTTTCTACAAGCGCTGCAGGAGCACTGGGAGCCGAGCATCACTGCACAAGGAGACTAGTTTGAAGGCGATGGTGGCCAGTTAGAGTTAAATGCAAGGCGGTTTTTGCTTTGTCCCAGAGCTTTATGAATCACCTCGTTACTCCTGCACTTTAGGATTCTTTCATCACCAACACAATTTACATTCCTGCCAATGATTTCACAACATTCACGCGTTCTCCGGATCTCCTGTAGTTCACCAAGAAGCTGCGAAGCAACTAAACGCTGACGTAAACGTGGAAAGATTCAAATTGCTTTTAAAAAACAGGCAAATGTTCTCTGAGGCTTTACAAACTCAACACGCCTGTTTAGCCTCAAGGGTTTTTTTTTTGTTTTGTTGTATTTCAGACAAAAAACTGAACCAGAAGGAAGCCAAACAGAAGTTTAAGGTTCAAACATAACAAAGTAAAACTCACACGATGGACGATTCGGTTTGTGAACAAGTGGAATTCCATCCACGTAAACACGACAGACTCAGGAGGCTTCAGGTGTTTAAAACCAGCCCTGAGGTTTGGCTGAAGGAGTGTTTTTGCTGATTATATTCATTATCTCACACTGATGGAAGTTATTTCTCTGTGGCTGCAACAACAGATGCAAATGAGCTGCTTGAGAGCTTTGAATCGTGTTCAGTCGCTGCAAAACCAAAGTACCTGTGCCTCGCTGAGCCCCAGCTCTATCCTCTCCAGCGACTGGCGGATGATGCCGCTCTTCTCCTGCTCCACGCTGCCGCTGTCCGACGCCGTCCGGCCCTCCATCGCCTCCTGCAGGCTCTCCAGCAGCCCGTGGTTCTCTCCTCTCAGAGCCTCCAGGCCTGCGATCACCTGCTGCGTGTTGCACAGGATCTCCTCCGCCGACAGCATGGCTCCCGCTCCGAGAAGTCACAAAACATAAAGGTGTTATTTAAGTAGTGAGATTCAGTAACGAGCCGCAATGTGAAGAAAACACAAAAACATTGGTTAGTTTCCTCTTTTCAGAAGAAGTGAGCATCTGGGATTAAATGCAAACACCACAGCAGACAGTTTGTTCTCTTATCTGAGTCGCTCCAGACTTCAGCTTTATCACAAAAAGAGCGAGACACAAAACGAGCACAAAGAAGCACGACTGCAAAGAGACACAAAGTGACGGTGAAGAGTTTCAGAACCACGAGTACAGAGAGACGCTAAACTACTGCAGAGACAAAAAACGACTAGAATGAGACACAAAATGAGCACAAAGCGATATTCAATGATCACAAGGAGACACAACATGAACACAAACCTACTAAAGTAAGACACAAAATGACCACAAAGAGACAAAAAAAACAACGACAGTGAGACAAAATAACCCCAAAGAGTTTAAAACCACTGAGACGAGACACTAAATGTCCACAAAGAGGCACAACATGCTCACAGGGAGACACAACATGAGCAGAAGAGCTGCAAAGCTCCTGAAGTGAGACACAAAATAAACATCAACATGTAGATAATGGATGGATGGATGTACAACGAGCACAAAGAGACTAAAGAATCCTGAAGTGAGAAAATGTCCAAATAGAGACACGACATGATGACAACAGCTGCAAAGCTACAAGGACACTTTAAAA